CATTCTCATCTTAGTTTGCTTTTTGATTGCTAGTGGTGGTACTATTGCTGGTATTTCGTTGGGGTCTTGGTTGGGAGCTCTAAAAGCCAAAGTGTGCCCATCTTGTCTTCAGTTTTAGGGTGTATTACTCACTGTAAAGTAGACATGTAGCTCGCTTAAGTTTCATTCATTGTACAGGTTCATGCTTTCTCGGTTTGCGATGATCCTGATTACTTCTATTACTTTGTCCAAGGCCTTCTATATGGACTTCAAGCTGGTGTTAACTCCCGTAATAATGTCAACATCCACAATGTGAGTCTTTCTCCGCTATATGTTTTTCGGTATTAATCAGACCTTATGAAGATCCAAACACGTTAAACTTGTCTAATACTAATCGTAAGGCCCCAACCGCCATCAGTCATGGCCCCAACACCCCCTCTCGACCCATGGATCCACACGTCCTGCCACAGATGAAGAACCCTACGAGCATGCCTGTGTATTGGATCATCAATCAGATCTCGAAATGGATTATGATTAGGGTCATGAAGGATATACAAAGCTCCATGACAAAAGAACCTGCAGTAAAGTTAGTAGCAGGGTGGCGTAAAACGCAAAGCGCACAGAAATTCTTGTATTAGGTTGATCATGAAATGCATTTTTTTTTACCGGCTTTGATATATGCATTTGGAGTTTATATTTGATTTGATTAAGAGTTACATTTACTTCTATTGTAAGCTAGTATCGTTAACTCTGACTTGATTACAGTAGTGTCCTCTTACGAAATTGAGGATGCATTTAAGAGATAGGAAGATCAGAGCTTATAAAAAAAAAGGCAAATAGTTTGAAGCAAAAACAGAGTTTAACAATGCATAATAATAAAACAAGGATAGTTGTGAACTTCCGCTGCCAACATGGGTATAGTTGTGAACTTCCGATGCATGCAGAAGTTGGTCATCAGAATCAATATGCCNGAGATAATAGGCGCGACCAAGGCAGTACTGAGGTTACAATATCATGTTCTTCTTTATCAACATCAGCATCAGGGAGTGCTAAGAAGGTAGTGTAACGTCTCGACTTAAAACCTTTGAGGACAGGGTAGAACTTCGTTTCTAGTTTCATGTTGTTTTTTGAGATTACCAACAGATTTGGGCCACAAGGATATTGCACAGGATTGTCTAATGCCCATAAAAGAAGGTCGAATGTCATCTTATCAAGTCTTGCATACTTGTCCCGTGGAACTACATATACCAAGGAACGGACAGACATGTGTAAATAAAAAAACAGAGAGAAAAAAAAAGGTGGAAAGTGGTTCAAACAAAAGAAAGCTCACCTTTGGGTACCAAGGTGAATCTGCTATCCAGATCCCGGTAGTTAGGCGGAAGCAGCGAAACATCATCATCCGGGACATAAGCCCAGACAAACAGGTCTCCATGAACATCTTTTCCCGCAAGAAAAGATTTGATATTGTCATAAAACGAACAAGAATCGAGATCGGCAGGGAGTGGGTAATCCATGACATCCCAGAAGACGCCTGTCTTAACATCTGCGAGGTTTCACAGTATATACAAGAAGACAATCAGATTAATTAAAATTTCGAGAAGAGATAGAGAGAGATGTCACCGCCGGATTTGCTGCCCATGGAGAAAGTAAAGGGCTGGGGGACACCCTGAGAAAGACTCTCCTCTCTGTCTACCTCAGAAGCTTCCTCATAATCTTCCTCAGGAAGTTCCTCTATGACTTCAGTATACACATAATCTTGCTCATACCTTTCCGCATACACTTCGAAATATGGTTTCCTTTCAAATAGGTCTGGACAAATCCATACTGGGATTTCAGTATGATCAGGAAGTTGTAAGACATCCCTAAATCTTCTACCTCTTTTCTTATGAGATATGGGAAGACCATTTGGTACCGACGTATCAGGCAACACTAAGATAACATTGCAACCTCTTTGCTTCAAAGAAAAAAGAACACGAATGATCATCTCCGTGTGTTGTGAGATTTTAGTGATTACGACGAGACTTGCTGGGTGACGATGGTTGAGTGCCCATAAAACAATGGACACTAACATCCGATTAACTCTTCTACAACTTTTCTTTATGACTTCGACCACGAATCCAGCATCCTTATATTCAGACACCAATTCACCAGAGAGCTTATTTGGATCAACATAAGCACGGATTTGAAACTCACTACGAAAATCCTCATGGAAAAGAGCTGATCCGATTCTTCCATAAATAATTTCAGGATCTGTATCATCACCGGGCCACCAATCGCCCACGTCCCAGTAGACGCCTGTGTCTGCGAATTACGAAACGGAAAAAACACACAAAAGGACCCATTACGATTGGATCGGATGAAATCTACTAACAATTTCGAACATGAGAGAGAGAGATAGAGACTTGCCCATGGTTCCGACGAATCAAATTCTCAGATGGTGTTGAGAAGGAGGAGAAAATTCTCAAATGGGTTGCATAAAATTAGATTTTTTTTTTTTAATAATAAAAATCGAATGAAAACACATTTCTGTCTTCTATAGTTCATATTATTTACAATTAAACCTACCCAACGAAAACCATTCTCAAAACCAGACCAAAACGATTTTAAATTTCTTTTCCAAACCGAGACGATTTCTTTCCCAAACCTAATTCGACGGTTCACTTCTAATCCCTGCTTCTTCGACACCACTTCTTCTCCAAT